AGCTCAGCCCTGGCATGTTCTTGACTTAAACCACAGACTGGAATGTCAGGATGCATTAAAAATGCACAAGTAGAGATTTATCCAGAAAAGCAAACAATAGAATAGGGCACTCAAAGGGAGAGAGAGTCGGGGTCCTGAAGAGTGAGTGAGTGAGGCATGCTTTAGGGGTCTCAGTTTTCTTCTTTCAAAGGAAWTTTTGTAAATGGTGAACATGAAGAAATGTGGGGTGGCATCGCCTAATGASAGCAAGCCTTTTGATCACAGAGCACAGAGTAGGCCACAGTGGTCTCATTCTTCTCAGAATCTTCAGGCTGATGTTTTCKAGTTAATAGGCAGCTCTTGACTGTTCCCATATTATATGTCTCTAACATGCACTGTCTCTGTCTAGATTTCTTTTAATTAGTCTAAAAATATATTTTGGAAGCAAAAGAGGYATATAGGTATGAATTAAGTGGATCTGCAATACTCTAAGATTTATTGAACCTTTTAAAAATTTAGGCCTCGGCCTTGGGTAGTGAAGGTCAGAGCAGTTATGGAGTTTTAAGATTTTTAGATTCTTTCCTTCCAGTTGTCTCCTTTCTATACATCCTGTTTTCTTCCATCTTACCTCAGTTGTACCTTACCAGGTGGCTTACCTCTGAGAACTCAAAATGCAAAGCATCATACARCAGGATTAAAATCTTACTTCCAGAAAAGACTAGAAACATTTTCAGATTTCCTAGGAAAGATCTGTAACAGTGCCTGGTCCTAGATTGTAAAATGACACACATCCTCTGGGCACAGTGGCTTGGAGCAGCAAAGGCAGAAGGATCACAAATTCAAACAAGCTTCAACAACATAGCAAGACTCTGTCTCAAAAATTTTAAAAGTAAATAATTAAATCAAAAGTTTGGGGATGTTGCTTAATGGTAAAGCACTTGAGGGTTCAATCCTAGTACTGAAAAAAAGAAAGAAAAGAAAYCTACATCTTCTTTTACTTCTCACTCCTAAGAGCAGTAGGGACTATGCTATAACTATAGTAAATATAATGATAACAGAAATTTATGGTTTTTTATTAACAAGTATCTAGAAAGTTCACAAGGTCAGACATGGCTCCTTGATAATGGACCGTCTCTTAAAAATTTCATTCATCTAGTCCAGTGGGTCACACCAACACCTCCAAAAAATGTCAGATTCCCAAGGTAAAGGCTCACTGTGTAGAAGGAAGAGTAGAAGGAGGAGTATAGCAGAGGGAAGAAAGACTGAGCTTGAAGAAGAAACCCATGTGTTTCTGATACTCTCCATCCTCTTCCTCCTCCTAGAGAATTACTGATCTAAGACTCATATTTCTATCACAGGGTTCTCAGATTTTTGCATGTGACAAAATCATCTGGAGCGRTGGGACTTCTATCAAGTTCCCAGGTGAGGTTAATACTGCTGGCCTAAAGCCCACATATTGAGAACCATCACCCTATAATATTAATCCCTACATAACCCCTACTTAAATACCTCCAACCACAAGGGACAATGAAGTAGAATTAACACTGCCCACTAAACCAAGCAGGAAGCTCTTGTTTCATTTACTGACAATGAGGAAATGCTATTGATGTCAAGCATAAAAACTCTTTTTAATAAATTCTAAACATGTTATTATAAAATAAAAATAACAGAAAATAGGCATATTTCACTAAATACAAAAAGGCAGACTCTTCTTTTAAAACTACCAGAAAGCTCAGTTCAAAATTGTCCATGTACAATGTTTATGCCTCATCAGAAGAAAACCCCTGCAGACCCAGAGCAAATATGCAGGTTCTGCATAAATGTTGACAGCCTGAGTCTCAGTTGAGCTCATTTAGCTTAACAAGTCTCTAGCTCCAGTTCACAGTCAGAACAGAGATCAATAAAAGCTCCATAATGCGTTTCTGTTAGTCTCCAGACTTTGTCTTTGCACAAGTGATTAAGGATGAGCAGAGGTCAATAGTGTGGTAGACATAGACCATGCCTACTTGCTCATTAGAGCTCACTACAAGTTACAAAGCCAAGTGGTACTTTTTAGGGGCTTTTTGTGTTTTTCTGGGGTTGTTTAAGAGATCCTCCCCTCCATTGGTTAGAAAAATTACAAATCCTACATAGGAAAAAGGCCTTAGGAATCTCATGGTTTAATTTCCCATTGGCCTATGTTGGAAAAATCTTYTCTGTTTTTTGTTTTGTTTTGAGATGGCATCCCACTATGTTGCCTAGGCTGGTCTCAGTCTTAAACTTGCATATTATTGATAGCAAAGTTAGGGCACYTCCCTTGATCTCTGCATAAGAGATAAATGAACTATATAAAAAGGGAAAAATGAATTAATACAGTTTAATCAAACTGGGGAGATACAATTAGATTGTTTCTCTGCAGGTCCTGGGGAAGAAAAAAAACAAAACCAGGAGATGCATATATGTAGATTTAGCCAGGCAGTGCCAGCCAGAGAACACATTAGTTTCGATTTYCTTGGTGTCTATAGGGGCCAGCAGGTGGTTTTAGTTTCCATTYTCAGCATGAGAAAGTTCAGGAGCTAAACTATTCAGAGTTTTTAATTTCAAAGGGGCTCTRTTTCTTGAGGGCTCAAATKATYCTCCCACCTCAGCCTCCCAAGTAGCTGGGACTACAGGCTTGCAACACCATCCTGAACTCTTTTTTAGAACATTTTAGGAGAGGTAAATATGACAGTCTTMAAGATGGAAATGAAGACAGAGATCTTCAGGACTTCCCTGTGAGAGAAACCTTACCTAGCTCTCTGACCTACTCCATATGGGGCATGATTATTATTTCAAATAAATCCTTTCAGACTATGGTAACTACAACAGCCTTRGAAGGGAGTCAAGACAGCTCAACTAAATAACTGACCACCACAAAAATAAAATAAATTAGCCTGTGCTTGTTGCCACTGTATGTCAGATTAGGCACAGTTGAACATGAGTTTCAATAAATGCTTCTTGGATAAATTAATCATCAGGCCACCAYGGGTATTCACAGCTGTAATAGTATATTTATAATTTACCCTAAATGTTGTGTTCTATTGCTGAGAGTCCCATGAGGCTGCAAAGATACGAGTTTTAGTTTGAGACCAAAAGGAATAGTGTTTTACACATAAAATGCTTGCTAGTGACACCAAAGGAATATTTTAATATAGAAGAAAAGTGTGTTAAGTGGTAGGTGTTAGGCCTAGATTGTCATTTTCCCACTTAAAAAAAAATAACTCTTTATCAACTTTACTATTAAGGAAGAAACCTAATAACCACTGAGTACCTACTCTATACAAGGCAATGGGAAAGACTCTTCTACAAACATCACCTGAATCATGACATCAGTAGGTGCTATATCCAGAAAATCCACATGGATATTATTTAAAAAAAAAAACAATCAGATAACTTAATTTTTTGTACTAAGTATTTGAATTCCAGGGCACTCTACCACTAAGCTACATCCCCATTTCTTTTTATTTCTTATTTTGAGATAGGATCTCCCTAAATTGCTCAGTCTAGCCTCAATTTTGTGATCCTTCTGCCTCAACCTCCTGAGTGGCTGGGATTATAGGCATATACCAGCATTCTTGGCCTATCAAATAACTTCAATGTTAAATTTACATTAAATAACATGACAGTTATAAAGTTGAAAAGTAAATTTCTAACACCTAGCAAAAGTTTCCCTACATTTTTTAAATGGCAAGAAGTGCAGAAAACAAAAATTGACTTTAGTAGATGAGAGTAAGAAGGATAATTCCTAGTTTGGTTAGGAATATCCTGTGACTTAACTAGGACACTGGATGTGGATTATTTCCTCACCCATGAAAGTCAACCAAAAGAGGGCAAGTAATGGTTTGGAAGACCTTGGAGAGGCTGAAGATTATCATTCCATTCTTCACAAGAGGCCAGGAAGTCTAAAACTTCTCCAAGTATAGGAGGCCTCAAATAAAAACATTTACCAGAATGACCGAAAAGCAAGTACCACCTGAGCCCACTTGCCATTAAATCCTCTCTCCAGCCTCTCATTTTCTATGTTGTATCTCTCCCTGGCTCAGCCACATCTTATTCCTCTTTTCATTTTGGAGGGAAAATGTCTGGTTTTTGTCTCTCCGCGTCTTAATCAAAACATAGATAGAAATTTAGTCCTCAAATTTATTTTAGAGCCCAATGCTGCTAAAGGAAGGACACAAATGCTTGTYAGAAAATTTTATGGTTCTCCCATAAGAATGCCTTATTTTTTCTGATGTGCTTCACCTCTACTTAAAACTTCAAAGTTTTGCCAGCATGGTGGCAGATGCCCGTAATCCCCGAGACTCTGGAGTTCTGAGGCAGGAGGAATCAAATTTGAGGCCAGTCTGGACAACTTAGCCAGACCCTGTTTCAAAATAAAAAATTTAAAAAATTAAAAAAAATGACTGGGGATGTAGCTCAGTGGTAAAGCATTCCTGGATTGGGTCCCCAATACTACTAAATAATAAATAAACAGATAATAGATAATATAAATAGATAAAAATTAAAACTTCAAGATTTTATAATTAATATAATTGTCTTGAAAACTAATAAAATGCATGCTAAGACTCCATTAAAGGTAATTTTAAGATAGACTCATGAAAAGCATAATTTTTTTTTCAGCCCTGGAGAAAGAATACACACTATAAAAGAGTATGTACCTCGAAATTCTTGTCCATCTGTAAAGACAATTAATAAGTCAAAAACAAAGACATAATAAAAAAAAATCCTGTATAGAAAACTTGGAGCAAATAAAATGGATTATCACTGAGATATTATATATCATATCATACTATATTATTTTACATTATATTATATATCATTCTCAATTATATTGTTTCAGGACAGAGAATGAAAACCTGAAGCAGAACAACAACAACACAATTTATCTTAATATAAAAGAAATAGAAAAAACACAATTTATCTTAATATAAGGGCATTTTTTTTTTCAAAGGTAAAGAGAAATTCTATCCCTAGCATTCATTTCAGTTCAGGTATTGACCTACCTCTTAATCGCTCCTTCCTTTGTTATTATTGATTTCAAAATCAGAAGGAGGGCTCACCATTTCTTCATTTGTTTGTCCCTCAAATGCCTACAGGGATTTGAGGCTGACAGAGAGGAAAAGGATAGTATTCTCTTGCCTCTGCAGCTTSTAAACTTAGAGACAGCCTCAGCGAGCCAAATGCCTCTAGAGGGAGGACACAAATGCTGATAAACTGCTGAGTGAAAGTATTTGCCCTTCTTATAAATATCAAAGAACAAAAATTGTGCTCCAAGATTCCTCACAAGTTCGGAACCACTAGCAGGCCCTATCATGGATCCAAATTCAGGATTTGGCTAATTGGGCTTCAAAATCAGGTACTCTATTGCTAAACCCACTGAGGCTCACTCTTACTCTATTCTCCTGGGATTTGAAAAATCCTTTGTCCTCAAAAGGACTGAAGTTTGGGTTTTYACTCTGTCTCTCTAAAGATCTCTCACAGAGAATTCTAAGTAGGCCCTCCACAAAATATGCTGTATTTAAGTAGCCACTGCAGAAAATAGTTCTTGCCCACCTCCCCCAAAATTGAAAGCTATAACCTGGAATTGTTCATCTATTTATTCAATAGTTTGAGGAATGTCTAGACAGCCTGTGACTCAAAATCTTATCTTAACTTTCCTTAGCAAAGAAGCTATGAGCCTACTTGAAACTAAATTGAAAACATAATCCCTTCTCATTTCTATTTAATTTTCTCCTGAATTAAATTTGGATACCTACTTGGCAAATGCAGCTTCATAACAAAGCCATTCTTCCCACTGTTTGCCCCTTCTACAAGAAACTTCTAAATAGAAATTGGAACTGCTCTCTCTCTCATCCAAGTAAATTCAATTATCAATGTTAGTGGGAGACGAGGACAATGTGAAATAAAACCTAAGTAAGTCAAATGTTTTACTTTAATTACCCATGTTACCTCTTAACTTCCCCAGCACTGCTGTCAAATTAAAAGCAAATGTAAAACTTATATATGATTATCATTCATTAGCTTGATGACTTCCTAACTAAGCAACTTGATCATTCCAACCTCARATTCAGAATTCAAGCTTGTACTTCTGCAAACTTAAAAATTTTATGGACCTCTAGAATGCTTTGAATATAGGAGACCCACAAATGTTAGTTACATCCACATGTTCCAAGGGACTATTTCATGGTTCTGATTACTTAATGAAGTCCACTCTCAATTGATAAGACAATAAATATATGGTGAAGAACACTTCAACTTTCATTTTCTTCTGCATATTCTTTTATTTCAGAAATCCTCTGTCCCTTTACCTGCTTTTTCCTACAGAGTAGAAATTATTATCTGTAAACCTAGACACTTGGCAAGCTGAGGCAGGATGATGGCAAGTTTGAGGCTAACCTAGGCAACTTAGTGAGATTCCTGTCTCAATATAAAAATTAGAAAAGGATTGGRAACATATCTCAATGTGTCTCAGCAATAGAGCACTCCTGACCTCAGGTCCAATACACCAAAAAATAAAAATTAAAAAAAAAGTCACAGGTTTTTTACTTTTTTGGGCATAAGGTTATATATTTTTAATCATTTATATTTGAAAATTTTTCTCCTTCTTAGATCTAAGTAACTATCAATCATTCATCCAGTTCAGACCTGAAAGGCATTAGTCACAATGGTTCTCTCTAGGCCACAATGGCTAATTCCCTTGATGCCAAGAATCTCTCTTATTGCTCCTTCTATTTTCATCATCAAGAAATTCTCAGTAGACTTACTTCCCCCTTATTAAGAAGAGTTGTATGTGTAATCAGTAACATCTACCCAGTGTGGCACTCTCTTCTTGGTCCACCCGGTCACCCCACCTTGACAATGTCTTTCTGGTTAGTAAAGTGTTCTCAGTCAACGCTAGACACTGATACCCTGCTTTCCTGTCAGTCATGGTAATTACACCTGTTTCATCCACTCCTTAGATTTTCTATCAAATGCTCAACCAGATGCTTAACTGGACTCTCAGTTCTAAAGCCTGAGCAGAGACATATATTCTAGTAGGTATAAACTCATTAAAGAAGTCCCTACTTTTCAAATGCAAATTGAAAAGAGAGTCTACAAAGTATGCTACCTCTTTAACTTTATCTCTGCGAGTCAGAGTTTAACTTCCATTAGTTGAAGATTCTTGTATCCTCACATCAATATCACTGAACTATGGTACAAAGAAAATTCTAAGTCTCCATTCCAAACACTTTTCTAATTTAGAAGTTCAAGAAAGAAATACTCTTCTAAGTTAAACCTTTCTTTTAGCCCTAAATGATCTGTATGATATGACAATATATATTTTTAATGTAATTCAATAAAAATCACTTATTGCTACCCCTGTTTTTCCTCTTGATCTTCTCCATGTCCTTCTTGTTTTAAGAGCTTTTAGAATTAATACATTCCTAGGGGAAAATGTTGAATTGTAGTCTAATTTTTTTATTTGACATTGAATGTTGTTGGCCATATAAATTATGGCAGTAGATTTCCTAMAAATCAAAGGTTAATTAATATAAACTACCCATCGGTAAACTTTCTTATTAAATGGGATTAGTGTTTATTTTTGTTTCTTAGTCATATGGTATAGTTTAAGGAAATAAAGATGAGGGCAGTCGGCCCACCTGTAATCCTAGTGACTCAGGAGGCCAAGGCAGGAGGATTGYAAGTTCAAGGCCAGCCTGTCAATTTAGGAAGGCCCTATTTCAAAATTAAAAATGTAAAGGATTGGGGATGTAGCTCAGTGGTAAARCACCCTTGGATTCAATCCCTTCTCCTTATTAAAAAAAAAAAAAAAGGAAATGATACTGTGACCTTTCTGCAAGATATTTTTCCAGTTCACTTTAACAGGCACAGAGATTGCCAACCACAATTCAAGATATTAAGTGAGATATTGATATTGGTAGGAGGAATGCAGGGTTTACCAGGACATAKTCCCTGGATATTGCTAAACTTCATTCACATTTAGGGCTTAAAACAAAAGTTTAACAAAAAAAGTTCAAGACTTTTGCACTAAAAACTACAAAATTCTGTTTTTAAAAATGTTCAAGGATCAGAACAGCTTATATTGTTTAGATGGCATACTCCCCAGATTAATTTATAGATACAATCTGTAGAAAGGGATACCAGAACTTAATCAAGATTCCAACTGCCTTTTTCACAAAAAATGACAAATCAATTATAAAAGTTATATGCCAAGGATCAAAAAGAGCCAAAGCAATCCTAAATGACAAGATCAAAATTGGAGAACCAACACTTCCCAATTTCAAA